AACTACTAGAACTAAAGAAACTACTAGAAGAAATAAATAAGGAGAATAAAACGGAAATAAAAGAGCTGAAAACAGAAATGAAGGAAGAAAATAAGGAGATGAGAAGATATATAAATGAAGTTAAAGAATAGATAAAACAAAATAACGAAGAAATAAAAAGCATAAAACTGGAAATAGAAAGGGTGAAGGAAGAATGGACAAAAGAGAAAGAAGAACTGAAAAGAGAAAACGAACTAACCAAAACCGATAACGAAAAGATAACGGAAGAATTAAATGATCTAAAACGCTCATTAGAAAGGTTAGACAAAGAAAAAAGAATATAATCATCAGTGGATAAAAAATAGACTCTGAAGACCCAAAAACATTGAAAGAGGGAATGCCTACTATATTAGAAAATCATCTTGGAGTCAAAACCAATATTAAAAGAGCACAGAAAATATGAACAAAAACATGCTTAATTGAACTTGAAAGCGAAAAAAAAAAAACAACAATCTTAAGACAAAATACAAACAAATACAAACTTAAGAATGTGAAGATCGAAAAAATATGGATTACAGAGGATCTCACAAAAGGAGAGAGAGAGAAAATGGAAGCTTTAAGAGATAAAGCAAGAGAAATGGGGGAAATGGAAAAATGGTCAAAATAGGATACAATAAAATCACAGTGGACGGCAAGGAATGGAGATGGTGCTATAAAGAAGAAAAGGTGTTGGAAATAGCGTGTTCAAAAAACTACCAGAGCAACATAAAAAGAACCCAGGAGAGGCCAAGCAACGAGTAGAGAAAGAAGAATTACTAAATAAACCGGACAATGATGACAAACGTTTAGTTTTAAGTAGTAATAGGAATAGGATTAGAAATAATAAAAATAGATTATAAATCAATTTTAAGCCAAACCCCGGAAATGTCCCTAATAGAGACGCTTTCACAAATCTGAAGATATACCTGTACCAATAGTGTCATGAAATCCTTAAACTCTGGACTTGCTATAAATACCTTGAAGATAGTTTATATCACAAAACTTTGTTTAAAACTAAATGGCAACCTAGAACCAGAAAAATAATATTCTCCGCAAACTTGTCAGCTCAAAATAGGAAGCACATTCTTCCACCCTTAAAACGTAGACTTAAACTCTATGCTTATGCTGCCGAATATACCTTGCTAGTATGGGTGACAAAAACACATACTTAACACGTAAGTATATTTAGCTCTAAATTAGTCAGTCATCAGATCATCACATCTGCAAGATATACAAAAAAAGTATAAGCTGCTTCTCGCCATCTCAACCCTCGAAAGGAACTTCCTTATGGTTGTTATCTTCCTTAAATTTGCCTGGAGGACTCTTGCCTGCAAACACCGGTTAACCTGTGTGAATGTGGGGTGGTATAAGATTCATCACACTTTCTTAGTTGACTTTTTCATTCAAATCGCTCTTTTCTGAAGGGACAAGGTTTATTTATTTGAACTAAACATGTTAAGTATAGCCAGTAAGCTTTTACTTATAAAGATCATTGCAAATTTGAAACTAACTCCACTTATATTGATAACATATTACCCCTAAATAGAAAATAAAACATTCAGAAGTATGTAATATTGAAGAAGTAGTATAATGCTTGTTAGATAAATTCTTTCTTTTTTTGTGCACTACTACCCATTTTTACACAAAAATATCTATTTTAGCACTTAAATATTTATTTTGAGATAACCTTTTATCCAAACTTATATGTAGTACATAGATAAAACCAGAAATAAAATAATAAAAAGCTGTATACAAGATATCATAAAACAATATATGAAATAAAAGAAGTTCTTATTAATCGGATTCTTAAATAAAACTTATGAAGACATATTCACGTTAACAAAATACATTAGGAAATTTCCGCATATGAAACAAAATCCAATTTGGTAATGAAATCCTTTTTTATCTATAAAGCTATTTTTAGAGAACTTGTACCTACCAAAATCAGGTAGTTAATAGTATACATATCTGTTACACACTGTAATGCGTATGAATGATAACAAAACTAAGGAGTCCATATAAACCGTCCAGACTTTACGCGAGAATTATACATCTTATAGCAGAGTTGCCAAACTATCAGAGCTTACTTAAACCGATATACGTATGGTTCCAATATACAGTGAAAAAGATCTGAACGACCCCTATAATATATACACGTGAACTAAGCGATATACATTTATGATACAGGGATAATTATGGGCTCCAAATTTTTTTTTTTAATTATGAAACTATACATGTTGACGAATCGACAGAGCCAATATTATGGAATGGTCAAGTGAGCTCCGTATATCGGTGTCCACTTGACCACGGAGCTCACCTGAACCTGAATTTTAACATGGGCGGAGTCCACTTTATGCCGTAAATATATATATATATATATATATATATATATATATATAATATATATAATATATATATATATATATATATATATATATATATATATATATATATATATATATTATAAAAACTACGACCGTCAATATATATTAATAACGTATTCAACTAGTGAATTCAGAGGTTTATTCGGTCATTCAGGCTGGCAAAATTAAAAACAGAATCAAGATGTTATTGTATATGTACTTAGGTTTACTCATAAATTTAGAACTAACTTAAAAAAAAATTAAACAAACAAATAACACAAAAACTTTACAAAAAATAACATTCGCAGAAACGAAGATTTACAAAAATTTTAACCGTACATTTGGCTTCATTGAGAGATGGTTCTCCAATGAAGAAAAAGAGTGTTTTGTTTTTCTTCATTGAAGAACCATCTCTCAATGAAGCCAAATGTACGGTTAAAATTTTTGTAAATCTTCGTTTCTGCGAATGTTATTTTTTGTAAAGTTTTTGTGTTATTTGTTTGTTTAATTTTTTTTTTAAGTTAGTTCTAAATTTATGAGTAAACCTAAGTACATATACAATAACATCTTGAATACTACATATTGAGTTAGAACTGATGAAGCTTTAGAAGTATAAAGCGAAACGTCTTCTATAAACTTATGAAGTAGTTGACTTCTGTTTTTTATTTTGCCAACCTGAATGACCGAATAAACCTCTGAATTCACTAATATATATATATATATATATATATATATATATAATATATATATATATATATATATATATATCTATATATATATATATATATATATATATATATATATATATATCTATATATATATATATATATATATATATATATATATATATATATATGTATAAATACATAATTTATATTGTGGTCCCGTATTATGTCATATTGTATCGTGCTTTGAACTGTTTAACGAGAACATTTTACTTTCATTTCGAAATTATTAACGTCACTTATAGTGTATTTATTGATCTAAATCTTTATTGATTTCATTATTTATTTGCTTGTATTAATATATGTATTTCATATATTCCTTACGATTGCATGTGGTGTGGCTTTATTAACAAGGTTGATTCATTTTACTACTAATTAATGGTGTTCTTATATGGATTGATATTTTTTTATCAATTTAACGTGTAATATTAACTTATGTAGTAATTTACCAGATCCTCAAATTCCTTGAAATTATTAACGCATATTTCATACTTTCCTAGCCGCAGCTACTTAATCGCTTGCGTTGTATTTTCTTGTATACTTCAGGGTCAATCTATTGGCAAGCTGCGATGGTCGATCTATTCTATTGTTCGTCGCGTCATACTTAATCTTTCTATTATTGTCGTTTGTATAGCCTCCTGTTGTCTCATTCTTAGCTATACATAAATACTAGTTTTATATCTTTGTCACGCCGCAATTCATTTGTGGATATTAATGATTTATTCGATTTAAATGTATGTATTTGTTTGATTTTACTTGCTTTAAATAGAGTTTTATATAGTCTTCTTACTTCTTATTTGTCTGTCGCAATATAATTACCCACGGCAAAAGGGAGAAACTATCAGGTTCTAGATTGAACGTATATATTCAGACTCCCTTTCTGGTGACCTCCTATGTTATATAGAGGTCATCGTATGTGCATAAAGCAACAGACTTATGTGCTAATTTGGCCGAAGTATTGGGGAAAGCAAGCAGGAAGCAGCTCAGGGCCATATCCAGATTGGGCATGAATATGGCTCGCTCAAGAAGTACCTCCATGCAATGGGACTGTTTCATGGAGACTCAAGCTACACAGTCTGTAGCAAAAAACCTGATACAGTTAACCATATCTTGCATGACTGTGAGGTATTAAATCTCAGAAAGAAGACGCTTTATAGAGATAATCGATCGACTCCAAATATATATGGTTTCCATCCCCTAGACCTGTATAAGCTAGTACAGGGTTCCAGAATTCTAAAATGGGTAACATGAATGAATGGAAGATGTAAAATAAGCCAATTGGATGCAGTACGACCGTTTTATAACAGATCGCTTCTCAAAAAACTCAAATATTCTTCTAATTATATTGAAACTAATGTAAAATGATCGATTTAAAACGAATGTTACCTCTCAAATTCTTACCTTTAAATTTTAGTGTGAGATTGCAGATCTACCGAGCATTTGGTTTGCGAATAGGTGAGGTTGAAAGTTAATTTCCCCAAAAATTACGATTTTTGTTCAATAGAAATGAGTTTCCACTATCTCTCAATCCCCAAAAAGTGTATTGTTGGGATTTCCGGTTGTTACTCACCTTATACCTCCTACCTAAAGGATTTCTTATGTTACTTACTTTTTGATTTTTTTTTGTGTAATAATCATAAACTAACCAAATATTTTTCGAACACTAATAAAAATAAACTGCAATGTTTAACTATTCGTTGTCACATTTTTTCTGTTCCATATAAAATTATTAGAAGAAGAAGTAAAAGTATTAGAAGTAATTCAGTCATGCCAAATAAATGTAAGGGGTACATAACACCACAGTCATACAATAAATGGACAGTGTTCTCCTATATAATGTAATCTAATTAAGTATGTAAGAAATTACAGTATAATGTTTTATTAATCATATAATCCAAACTATAGTTACGATTTATAAATTTATCCTCATTCACATTCTCCAAAGTGTTTAATTTCTAAACTGTGATCAGTCTCCACTTCGCAATTAAGATCACATTGGCTGTCATACGTCTTTCCATCTGTACCACAAACTGGAGCATATACTCTGTTGCAAAGACAAGGTATTTCTGCTCTTGCTGGTAAAACGTTCATCAAGATTGTCAGGCACAAATACAGATGAATAAACAGAAATATCTTCATATTTGATTGTTAAATAACTTACCAAAAATATAGTTTTAAAACTTTTGAGCCTATGGGAAAGCAGGTATTTATATATTTGTACATAAGTAGAAAATCGTAAAAGTTTTTATTTTTCTTTATTTATCGATTGCAAATTTTTTAATTCGTTTTCCATAATATCATTTTATGACTCAAATGATTTATTGCTAATAGTAAAGTGTTATTGAGTTTTAGTACTATAATAATGTAAATATCATGCAAGTTTTTAATTAAGTAAATATAAAATGCAATGGTACGTTAAAATAAAATAGTTGTTAGATATACCAATTGGAAACTTCCCACATGAATATAGTCTTTTGAGAGTAGGAGGTCGATTACAAAAGTCTCAGTTGTCTTTTGATGTTAAACATCCATTGCTGTTATAAAAACTCATCGTCTGACCGATTTAATCATGGAATGGACTCATCAAACGAATCAGCACCCTGGTTTAAAGGCTATGCATTATTTATTACTCCAGCGCTTTTTAATTCTGTCTCCAAAAAGTGTCATTTATGGCTGTTTGTCAAAGTGGATTCGTTGTTTTAGATGCCGACCTAAATCTTACAACCCCTTTATGACAAACTTGCTCTCTTTTATTTTATTCACTAATCTATGGCACCGTTGTATGGTTGAGTGATTTGAGCGAAAACCAAACTGATGATCTGGGATAAGGTTTTCTATAGGTATTATTATTCTATTCTGTTAAGGATTAATCTTTCGAAGACTTTTGATAATGTCGGAAGGACACTTATTGGTCTGTAAGAACTGGCTTCAGTTAGAGGTTTACCAGGTTTAGGTATCTTTATAATTTCTGCGCTCACAGTGGCAACGTCGCATAAAAATTGGTGAAGACTTCAGTGAATATTTTGCTTTTTATCGCTCTTATCAGTTAACCTCTTCGGTGTATTTTGGTTAATTGCTTATAATTATTTCACTGACTCATCTTTTAGAAGTCCACTTTTTATACTACTGATTAGCATTTAACTTTGTTTAGCACTCTAACTAATTTTGATTGTTTATTTCTCGTTGTAACTTTCGATAAATCGGGTTTATTACAGCCGAAACAACAAACGTATTTGTCCAATCGCTACCGCGTTGCCAGCAAGCTCAGAAAAGCTATTATGAGCCTATACAAGAACACAAGAAACAGAGTAAGAACAGATAATATGGAATCAGAAGAGTTTAGAGTCAATGATGGCTTACGACAAGGAGGTGTACTAGGCCCCATCCTGTTCAATATTGTACAAGATGATGTAATGAAGGAAACTAGAAAAGAAACATCGAAACTATTTGTTGGACATAGAAACCTGGAAATGATACAGATAGCGGAATGCGAATTTGCAGATGACCTCGTCGTATTTGGAAGAAACGAGGACGCACTTAAGAGAAACTTGAAAAACGTAATATGAGAATTAATGAAAGTAAAACCAAGGTCATGGTATGTGGGAAAACAGACCAACATACAAACATTAAAATCAATAACTTTACTTTAGAACAAGTCGAAACCTTCAAATACCTGGGAGTGCAACTAGAGAGTAAGGGTACACAACAAGCAGAGATAAACAATCGAATAGCAAATGCTTCCCGGATATACCACGCAATTAAGAGCACATTCCTATCGAGAAAAGAAGTATCCCAAAAAGCAAAGATAGCTATCTATAACACAGTTTTTGTACCTATCTTAACATTTGGATGTGAAAGCTGGACGCTTACTACCAGACTCAAAAATAAACTGCAAAGTATTTCAATGAAGTATCTAAGAAGAGTACCAGGGGTAACCAGAATGGACAGGATACGGAACGATGAAATAAGAGAATGCCTTAAAGTCCAATCAATAGAGAAGAAAATCGAAGAAGCCCAATTGAGATGGTACGGCCACATGGTAAGGATGGATAAAAAAAGCCAAGTGAAACAAGTGTGGGAAGCGAGAAGAACCTTGAAAAGACCGAGGGGCAGACCGATGAAGACCTGAGATGATGAAATTGCCGCCATACTAGACAGGAGAGGAGTCACCAAGGAGCAAGCGAAGAAATTGGCAAGCAACAAGAAGAATTGGAGGAAGTTTGTATATGAAACCTAAAAAGACACTTTTACACCCAACACCTTAGGGTAGAAGGGTTATTGATTATATATTTCTAACTTCCATTGCACTGAAAAATAGCATAGTCTCAGGAGGCTATTAAAAATAATGGTTATTAAGACGATTCCTTTTCTTGGGAGTCTTTTAAGATTTCGCCAGTTATAAGGTCAAATCCTGGAGCTTTATGAGGGTTAAGCAGGTTGATTTCGTTACGGACTTCGTTTGGTGAGAAGTATTTTAGTGGTATTGATAGCTGACAGGATGCATTAAGGAAGCCTCTAATTTTCTCGTCGTTAATATCTTTGGCCTGTGGGGTGGAGAAGACGGTTGATAGATGTTCTGCAAATCTGTTGGATTTTTCTATATCTGATCGAGCCCATGTTCCATCTTTTTTCCTAATTGGTGATTTCATTACTACCGGCTTTTTGAATTTCTTTGTGGTTTTCCAAAGAGAGTTGTTAAGAGAAAGGTTTGTGACATATCTTTCACAGGATTCGTTTTTGGCTGTTTGGATAGCGGAATGACGTCTGTGTGTGAGCATGTTTGGATTTGTTTTATCTATCACACACCCTTGGTAATCAAGATGGGACTGTGGTCCGAATGTAGATCAAAACTGGGGGTGATGTCGCTGTGTATTTCAGGTATTCCCTTAGTTATAGCAAAGTCTAACAGATCAGTAATTTTGTTGTTATCTGTGGGGGTACCAGTTGTTAGGTATTTCAGGTTATTATTTTGTATGATCTTTAATAGATTTCTGTCTTTTGGAGATATCAGTCTTGCTCTCCAGGTTGTATATTTTGCATTCCAGTCCCCTGCCACTAGGAAATGTGAGCAAAGTTGTTCAAAAAACTCTCCGTATTCCTCCAGATTGATTGTATGGCGTTGCGGGCGTATGGCGTTGCGGGCTGTAGATAGAAGCTATTAACTCCGCCAGCATTACCCACTAGGTGGATCGAGTAGCTTGGTGGGTGATGTTGCCGGTCCCAAGCCCGGATAAAGGAAGAGGGTTGTAGGGTTAGGTTAGCAGCTTGCCATATATAAAAATAAAAAAAAAGCTCAAAGAACCGGTGACAAACCTCGGACTAGGACAGAAAATATGGTAACGACAAAGGCAAGAAAAATGGACGACGAACTGGAAAACGGAAAATATAATGAGAGTGGCGACGTGGAACATAAAAAGCCTAAATAACCGGGATCAGGAAATAGAAAAAGATTTGAAAGAATATCAAATAGATATCTGCGCCCTACAGGAAACAAAGAGGAAAGGTAAAGGACAGACGCGGCTTGGAGAATATTTACTAATATATAGTGGGGTTCCAAAACAAGAAAGAGCAAATAAAGGTGTAGCAATAATGATCAAAACAAAATATAAAGATCAAATTAAAGAGTGCCAGCACATATCTCAGAGAATACTTTTAGTACAAATTAGGGCGAACAGCAAAATTATTAACATAATAGGGATATATGCACCAGAAGACTGCAAACCTGACAGCGATAAAGAAGAATTTTATGATGAGCTACAAACATTAGTGGAAAGAGAAGTGAAACAAAAATAATTACTTATATTATTGGGAGATTTCAATGTCAGAATAGGAGACCAAGTAATACCAGGAATAAAACAAAGGTTTAACGAAAGAGTTATCAATGGAAACGGAAAGAGAATGGTAGAACTCTGCACATCAAACGAACTGAGAATAACCAACACATTTTTTAATCATAAAATTCAACACAAATACACGTTTGAAAATACAAGAGGACATAGATCAATGGTAGATTATGTGGTCACAAACAGAAATATTCAAGATAAACAGATAGTGGATGTGAGAAGTTTGACGTCACCCAATGTGGGAACCGATCCCTATTTGGTACTTGGTAAAATTAGATTCAATGAAAGTTGGAAAGAGAAGCATTCAGAGGAAATAATAAAAATAGAAAATTTAAAAAATGCCTCCATAAAATTATACCAAAAAAAGCTAGAAGAGAAAATACAAATGGAGAATATCGAAAATGAAAGCAATGTAGAGACTAGCTGGAGAAAACTCAAGAAAAATATTCTGAATGCTGCCCGAGAAGCCCTTGGAATGAAAATAATAAACAAAAAGTGGTCAACGAAAACACCATGGTTTACAATAGACGTTAAACAAAAATGTCACCAAAAAAAAAAAGAAAGTTTTCCTAAAATATAAGTCAGAAAAAACGAATGAATCATATGAATAATATAAAAGAATAAGAACTGAAACTCATCAATTGGTAAGGAAAACAAAAACAGATTACTGGGAAAGATTCACAAAAGGACTAGAGATGGATTTCTATGGACAACAGAAACAAGTATGGCGCTTCATAAGACAACAAAGAAGCGAAATGAAAGAACTAGTTGAAATAGAACACATACAAGAGGATACATGGGTGGCCTTCCTGACAGAAATGTTTAAAAACAAAACGAAGAACCTTTACCAGAAACGCCAAATATAATAACTGATGAAAACACCGAAATCTCCCAAAACGATGAGAAAGAAGGAATAAACAAATTAAAAAACAGAAAGTCACCAGGAGAAGATCAAATACCAAATGAATTCTTAAAATATGGAGGTGATTACCTTGTACAATAACTGCAACTTCTTATTAATAAAATAATGACCACGAACAGAATACCAGATGAATGGAGGAGAGAGATTATGGTGATGTTCTTCAACAAAAAAGGAGATAAGAAAGACCCCAATAGATATCGAGCAATAAATCTTTCAAATACAACACTCAATTTGACAACAAGAATAATAGCGACAAAAATAAACGAACGAATATCTCTGCAAGAGGAACAGCAAGGATTTCTGATTTCTTGAGCGCATGTAATTTTATTATAGTACTCTGAATTTTGTTGGTGATCTATCATTACAACAGAACCAGCATGGGCTGTTCCATGTGGATGGTTTGCGTAATAGACAGAGTAGCGTAGACTTTTTATGAAATACCGCTCAGTTGTGTGACTCTCAGATATAAGTAGGATGTCTATTTTGTTTAATTTTAGAAATAGTATAATTTCTTGCACATGGTTTGTTAGACCATTTGCGTTCCACTCTGCTATTCTAAGTGAGTTAGCCATTACGACGTTCTATTTATCACTGTTGTAAGCATGCTTAGAGTCACGCTGTTTTGGTTTATCAATTGTGCAAACATATTTTTAAATTCGTTGAGGAATGCTGTAAGTTTATTTGAAAGGTCTGATTTATTGTTGTTGTCTTGTGAAGAAGTATTAGTTGCTTCAACTTGAGCATATGTTACATGTGATTGGCGTATGTGGTGAGCATTAGTGTTATTATTATTTAGGCTTGCAACTCTAGGTATAGGAATTCTGCTTGTTATATTTTTGTTTTTCGAATTTACTAGGTCTTTATAGTTTGCTGGATGATTGCCATTACATAAAGCACATGTTGCTGGTGTGTCGCATGCTTTTTTGCAGGTTTTTGTGTCATGTGATCCACTGCAAGTACGAAGATATGAATGCTTATATTTTTGAGGAATATTTAACAAATGATAAAAACAGATTATAACAGATTCAGTAATTTTTGGCAATGCTCCGTACCATTCATTAAAATCTGAAAAATACCCTATAACTTTAGAAAAAGGCACAAATAATTGATAGATTTTCAATAGAATTTTAATAGGAAGTCGGGAGGTAGGAGTGGTAAACTTTTTTAAATATTTTTTGGGGTTACAAAATTGTCATTCTTAGCTAAATTCAGCTTGTTCGTCTCGTTTCTTGTGATCAAATCTTTGACGATTGGACTATCCCTCTAAACACCAAATAAAATTTAAGTAAATGTGTACAAATAAATATAAAAATTACTTACTCTGGTATAAGGGCTTTCAGCAAATTATACAAAGGCTTTTTCTGATCAGTTGTAGAAAACATAAGCAAACACTTGACCTCTTCGTTTGAATTTATATAGGTATCAACTGTCTTCTGTATTCCATCCTCCTTGACGGGATTACAGTAAAACATGGTCATCCTCACATTGGGAATTTTTGGGAAGAATAGACCATCAAAATAAGATGCTTTACATATATTTTTACTCTTGCTATCGAAATATGATATAACTTTTGCGCAGGATATGACGCAATAGTCAGTTTTATGTGGAACAAATTCTTCTTCAAAATACTCTGGAACTAATATTAATGCATGTAATAGAAAATTCCTGTCTTCCGGAAAGAAATTTCTGTAATTAGTTTTATAAGGGACGGCGCATTATGCACAAGAAAATATAACTGTCTATATTTCCTCTATAAAAGTCTGTCCTTGTTTCACATTCTGACATATTTCGCAGACTTATCAGGTAGTGCTCGATCAAAGACATACTTTTAAAGTAAAAGAAGTCATGATTTTTACCCAAATTTCCCACTTCAGCCATCTACTGTGGATGCTAGAAAATAAGCAAAATTTATTTCTCTCAACTATGTAGAAACCGTAGAGTATTTAAAAATATCCTATATTTCTCTATGCAGCTTTATCGATATCTGTTATACCTGATGAGGTCCAATATAGACCTAAACATTTAGTGTAAAAAAAGAACAGACTTTTACAGACAACAAACAAAAAATTTCACCAAGTGTGTTAGATACCCCAAGAATTATATTCAAAAGCTTATTCATGGCGTCATGATCCAAGCTAGGTGGGGCAGGACATGATCGTTCTGTATTTTCTCGTTTAATTGTTAAATGTTTGAGATTTATAGTCAATATTTTATGATTACCAAATAGTTTCTTTCAGCATAGGGGAGAGGGGGGTTAGTGTGGACATGGGGTTAGTGTGGACATAGTTAATTATTTAAAAACTCGCATTTAAATCTGCCGCCCAGTCTGTTCAGGAAGTGACTATTAACGCCACCGAACACCACGTAAAAGTTGGTTGAAATATTTTCTATAATATGGCCGCCAGTGACAGAAAGTGATTTTGTGTGTTGTATCCATTTATTTCACACGGTAAGTAAAATTATACTAAAATTGAAGTTATTGAACTAATTGTATACCTAAGTTAGTGTATGGCTTCTGGAATATTTAATTACTACATTTGATATGGAATGAGATAAAATTATCATTTTTCGAAACGTCATTCCATTGTTACTGTCAAACATGGCGTTCGGGGTTAGTGTGGACAAATCATCAGCTGTCCACACTAACCCCACAAATGATTATATTTCCAAAAATCATGTGATAAAAATCGCTTTTTTGTTTCAGATGAGGACTTACAGTAGAAAAACGGCGAGAGCTGATATTGATGAAAAAGTTGTAGAGCGTGCAATAAAGGATATCCTAAGAAAAAAAGGAAGCTTGAGAAATATTGCAGAGAAATATGAATTGAAAAAAAGTATGCTTCACAAAAGAGTCATTTCGGCTAAGAGGAACCTTCAAGATGCTAATATACCCTCTGGTGATGATTCAGGTAACGAAGATGACTTAGAAATTGTTAGCTTGAATGTTTCTGGCGTCAATAAATTTCGAGGTCGCCAAATATTTTCTGATGAACAAGAACAACACATTGTCAATTATCTTAAGAAGGCGTCTCGATTACATTATGGCCTGACTTACAAGCAGGCTTGTACCCTAGCTTTTGAGTATGGTAGTGCTCTACAAATAGAAATTCCTTCGAATTGGACTAAAAATAAGATAGCAGGAAAGGACTGGATATATTCATTTATGAAACGACATGGTGATTTATCTCTTAGAAAACCTGAAAATACAAGCATAGCACGAGATGCAGCCTTTAAGAAATCCAACGTGGATTTATTTTTTGATAATTACATTGGAGTTTTAGATAAATTTAAAGGAAGGCCAGAAAGGATAATAAATTTAGATCAGACAGGTATACCCACGGTCTTACCACCACCCAAACGTATAGCTGAAAAGGGAAAAAAACAAATAGGAGCTGTGGCCTCTCAAGAACGCGGTGAAAATGTTACAATGTGCGGAATTATAACAGCCATTGGACAAGCAATACCTCCAGTTTTCATATTCCCCAGGAAGAATATGAAAGACCGGTTCTTAGATGGTGCACCAATAGGGAGCATTGGTCTGGCTATATGACTGCTGAATTATTTTTAGAAGTACTAAAGCACATAAAAATGCACTTAAGTGCTTCTAAAGAAAACCCTCTACTGATATTAATGGATAATCATTCAAGTCATATAAGTTTGGAAGCTATAAACTTAGCTAGAGAATCTGAAATTACTCTTTTATCGTTTCCGCCACATTGTAGCCACAAACTACAGCCGCTAGATGTTGCAGTATATGGTCCTTATAAAGCTGCATTACGGGTTGCAATGGGAGACTGGCTTCAAAATCATCCAGGCAGACCTATACAAATATATGATGTTGCTCAACTGTGTGGTATTGCTTTTCCTGTGGCATTTACAATGAAGAATATAACATCTGGATTCAGATCTGCTGGTTTATGGCCAATAAATCGTCTTGTATTCACCGATGAGGATTATGAAGCTGCCGAAACAACAGATAGGAATCAAGAACCACCAACAGCAATGAACCCAAGAAATCCTGAAGATCCCGAGCGAATATTAGAAGTTGCTTCAATCTCCACAAGACTGCTACCTATAGCTCCCATTACGCTTTCTCACACTACATCAACAGCTGTAATTACTCCTGAGAGCTGCCGCCCTTTTCTAAAAGCAGATCGCTCATCAAACTCCAAAGCAAGAAAAAATAAAAAGTCGACTATTTACACGAGCACACCAGTGAAAGATCAGTTGGAAGCTGAAAAAGAGGCTAAAGATTTGAAGAAAAGACGTGCGCAAGAAAGAGCTGAAATGCGAGAAAAGAATAGAGTGAAGAAATCTCTTTCCTATGAACCAAAAAGGAGTAGGAAAGAATCTTCCTCTTCCAATTCTTCTACAGAAGTAATACTTGAATCAGAGGATGAAGGCTGGATGGAAGATGATGGCCAGGACAACGATATTTTTATGGACAAACAAATGGAGAAAAATGATTTCGTACTTGTAAAATTTATGGGTAAAAAATCGGTAACACACTATGTTGGCCAAATCGTAGATATTCGAGATGTGGAGGTACAAATTAATTTTTTAAGTAAAAAAGTGAATAATTTCGTATTTCCCGAAGTTGAAGATGTCTCAGTTGTCGACAAGAACGATATTGTCGGAATTTTGGAGCACCCAGTAGACACTGGCACGAAAAGGCAAGGAAGATTATTTTCATTTAATATTAATTTCAGTTCTTATAATGTATCGTAGTTTCTTTTTGTTAACATAAAGTTTTCAGTATTCCTGTATATGTTTTACTATGCGTCCACTATAACCCCATACTCTGTCCACTTTAACCCCACCACGGGGTCATTGTGGACAAATTATTGATTCCGATTTGAATCAAAATATTTGTTCTATTAAGAAAGATACAAATACAATATTCACATCGAAAGTTGAGTTGATGTTTACAGTAAATATGTGAGGTAAGTTCAGCAATAAGAATCTTATACATATTTTTTAATTTGCTAATAAGTAAAAATGGTCCACAGTAACCCCCTTCTCCCCTACAAACATAGTCAAATAGTTGTTCTATGTCAACGAATATCAAGAAAAAAATATTTCGATTCTTTTCAGTTAGCTATAGTAGTAAGTAGATTATCCTGAGTGCTCTCTACTTTGCGATTCTTCTAATTGCTCTGTGATTTAAATCTTTTTTTTAAGAGTCGTTTATAGAAAAGCTAAGTATTGCTACTCTTCTATAGTTTTGTATAGCCATGGCCAAAAGAAGATTCAATGTAGCCTTGATACAAGAGCACTGGATTTACAAAGGCAATATAAGAGGTCTAGTTCATCATGAATATCAGATTACATTTTAGTAAACCTCATAAATTTATACATAAAATTTATTTTAATTTTAATTAATGTCTTAGTATCAGTATGTTCAATCAAGTGTAATTAAGTTAAAGACTATATTGTAATAATTGCACCAATGAATTCATTGTGAAAATTATGTTTTAATAGTTGTTGTTATTTTAAAAGAAGATCAAATAGTACCCATACGGTGTGAAACACTTTCACACAGTCTTCATGAAAAGTTACTGTTACATATTTAAAAAAAAATATCTGCTTTAAGTGGCTATTAAAAGAATATTCATGAAAAGTTTCGGCGAAATAAAAAATTTCAAAATTTAGTAAAATGTTTCATTGAATCCTTTTTTGAACCTGACATTTCAATGAAATAATTTTGAAATAGTCTAAAATGTTTACTGAAAAGTATTGAGAAAATTATAATTTTTTGTTAAATAAGTATATTTTGAAAACAAATTTGTAGATCATTTTTTTGGGTAGGAAAAAAGTATATTAAAAAATTACGTGACAGATTTTCGTTGTTTTGGAAAAAACCTATTTTTAATTCAGAGTTGTAAAATTTTATTTACCTGTTGTAATAAAAAAATACTTTTAATATTAATATTTTCACACCTTTTTAAGTTTTAAATTAAAAATATAACAATTTAAGATATTACAAATAAGTCTTATTGTAAAAAAAAAACAAAAAAAAAACAGTTTGCAAATTAATGGCATCTAAATTGTATTAAGTGTGGATATATAAGTTAAAAAGTTTGGTTCATACTCCTTTCCCACTTCTCCCACCTCTATCTTTTATGATATATTTTTAAGCTGATGGCCACAGTTTGGGTTTATGCAGTCGCCCTCTACAGGTGTATTTTGTAGTATAATAACCAAGACCAAATGGCCCATTTAAAATGTGCTTCTATATGCATCTATATTCGTTGATACCACTAGTAGATGGCCAGTCAAATTGTGTTCACGATTTCTCTTTTTTTTTGTTTGTTAGGCCTTTGAAAAAATTCTATACTTTTTAACACCTTTATTAATCCATTCTCCTTTCTCATAGTACCTCCAACTGTTTATTCATTAATTTCCAATCTATCGTTTGTTTATCTTTGGTCAGTGCGGGTAATTGGAAACAGTACTCCCGACGGCTAGAAATAAAATATGGCAACAATGTCACATACACAGAATTGCAATTCCATCTTTGCTTATTCTGTGAAATGACATTTAGTTGTTTACAAGCCAAGTGAATCCCCATTTTGTGCAACTTAAATTTGATTGTTTTTAAACACATAAATTGATCTAGAACAGTGCCAATGTGTATTTTACAAATTTCATCTCTCTGTATTAGTTAAGTATAGGGATTATACAATTTATAGTAACTATGAGAATCCTTATACTGTCTAAAATGTTCATTTGAAGGTTATTTACTACAAGAAGTAAGTACATTAACTGTTTACAATTACTCCCTTAAATATTAAGCATGGAGTAAATGAAAACACCTGTTGGGAGTAAATGGAAACAACGCAGGGTAAATGGAAATCAATTTTTTGTGTTAAGGGAGACACAAACAGGCCTTGCCATTTTTAAAATGCTGAGGAAGGACATAAGAAAGTGAGAACCACCAAAATACTCTTTGAATGATGTAAATGCTGTGGCAGACGTCAAAACAAAGAAAAGAACATATAGGGAGGCTGTTGCTTACTACAGTATTCCACATTGCGTTATTTACAATCGCATAAAGGGTAGAAACATACCAATTGATGGGATGGGAGCTGGTGTGTCTACTGCATTGTCAGACAAAATTGAAAACCATATTGTAACATGTTTAAAAGCCCGAGCAAATGTGGGCTATCCTTGCGATAAGAGTTACTAAATGTAGTTAGTGAAGACGTTAAAAATAATTGCCTAAAAACTCGCATCAAAGATGGCATCCCTGGTGAAGATTAATATCTGGGATTTATGAAACGCCGTCCTCCATTTTTGCTAAAGAAACCTGAGCATATTCAAAAACTTATAAAAGATGCTCGAAAGCCAGAAATCATTTATGATTTCTATTATAAACTAAAATACGTTGTTCAAAATAATGGCCTTCATGACATCAGTAAAACCATGTTTGTATTTAATGCTGACAAGAGTGGATTTAATAGTGATCCCTACAGAATTAGAGCTTAGGCTCAAAGGGTAAAGCTCCATGCAGTTTCTGGTGGTTCTGGATGGGAGTACACAAAAGTGCTCACATGTGATTCAGCAGATGGAAAATATTTCCACTGCTCATCGTTTTTAAGGGTGTTACTTTCCAAGCAAGATGGATATCACCAGAGGCCATGCCAGGAACTCTTTATGCCTCTAGCAAGAATATTTGGATGGAGGAACCTCAATTTTACCATTGGTTTCTTAATGGATTTGTACCACATGTGCAAACAATTCAAGAGATACAGAATTTACCAAATCAAAAAGCTGTACTCTTATATGATGGCCACCGAAGTCATATAAGTATTCAAATAATTGAACAAGCATTAAAACATAACATTGAGCTTATTAGCTCAATATAATATAAAAACCTATAAAGGTTTTGTTATTATTTCTAGTTTTTGTTTTTTTATTGTGATTTTATGTCTGGTGTTCTTTTCTGCCCTCTTCTAATGCAGTAAGTTATTGTAATAAAGTTGGTTTAGATAAAAATATCAGAGCTCATATGTACATATTGTACATGTATATGTACCATTTATGCACTACATGTATCATATTATGCACTAAATTCACTCTGCAGCTTTCTCATCTTGCTTTAGCTGGATATTAAATTGATTCTTGAATTTCCTTTATATTATCTTCATCTATCCAAATTTTTGTTTCTTTTAGTGCTTTTTGTTTTTTTTTGTTATTTCAGAATTTTTTAGCCTGTGGTAAGCTTTACTAATATTAAGTAATCTTTGTTTTGTACTTCCAGATTTTTGAAGAGATTAAAAATTCATCAGGTTAATCAGAAATTATTAATTTAATTGATAATGAGCAAGATCTTGCTAGTCATATGGATCTAACACTCTATCACTATCTTTATTCTTCTTCTTACTTTCCTCTCTAGGGATTATATTCTTAAATTTTAATTTCTTAATATTCTTGATTTGTAATATAGCATTTCTGTTACCTGATGTTTTAGTGTTTTGTATACCTGCTGAATATTTTTTATTTGGCTAAACATTTCTTCAACCTGGCACATTTTCCCTATTTATATTATCACAGTAACTTATAATAAAGAAATTATCCATTAATTATAGTTAAATAAATTATATAAAAAACTGTATAATACTATTTATACAATCTAATTACATTGATTAGAGAAATTGTAAAATAGACTTTGTATTAATTTTTTTATTACCTGTTTTTCTTGATAGTTCCTCCCACTCTGTATGTACACAAATATATTTACTAAGCTTGATTCTCCTAAAATCATACAATATTATTCCAAATCCTACATTGTTATAATTGAGATTAGCACTATGCTCAAAACAATTGTTTGTTGATCCTTTAAAACATGTAAACCAACTGGCTTGGACTCTTTTGCTTAAAATATTTTCTGCAATTTCCTTCCATGAATTTTTGACTTGACAACACCTGGTTAAATCATTAAAGTCTAGGTAATCAAATATAATGTCTAGTAATGGATAAACTGATTCTAGAGCTTCAGAAAAATCGAAGTTTGCAGTGATTAAGACTTCAGGAACTGGTGTAAGTCTTTTTATGCTCTTTATGCAGAAACTCTTATCTCCCTGAAATAAATCGGTATGGAATGAGAAAATATTTCTAAACCTGACAATAATTGAAATTAAAATTCATTATGAAATCTGTATTATTGTAGATACAGATGCAATTTTAATTAATGAAAGTACTCTCATCACATTACTTTGGATTTCAAGCTCAACATTCAAGATACTAGAATTACCCAAATCAGTATGTTTTTAATAAAATAAATTTTTAGCATTTTATTACATCAGGTCTCATATGGTCTGACAATACATTAGGCATAATCAAAAAAGAGAAAACTGAATATAAAACTGGTATAAACCACAAAAACCAAATTCTTGAAAATTAATTACTGATTAACAGTTTAGTTTCAGAGCTTGATTTAGTCTTGGTATGTAAAAGTAATTAATGTAAATTCCATTAAATATTCTATTTAAACTACAGTTATACTATTCATGGGATTTAAAAGCTTTTATAAATATAGTACTATAAAGTTCCTGTACAATATTCTTTCTGTTATAATCAATATATGAAATTAAAAGCACCGTACCATATCCAAAACATAAAGAATATTATTGTTATTATTTTGAATTTTAAAAATTAAGACTTTTATCTATTTAAGGTTAGGAAACTAAGTGCGCAACCTATTCTTCTTTTTCCTATTGATACAATCACTACATTAGTACAAAACCATACAAAACTAAAAATAAGAAGAAAGTGTCACATAAAATAAGAAAATAACCCCCATTTTTTTAAGTCTATAATTTTTAAAAGGTATAGGTAGTTATATATTTTAAGCAACGATGTAATTAATATACATCGTTGATTTGAAGTATATAATATTACAAAATTACACATATTTAAATAATGTTATCCTGGAAATCTGGTGTGCCTTGATAGAAGAAAAACTAGAAAAGGTACACTCTTGAATGTTTCCAAAACTGTATTAAAATCAAATTCACATTAGAATAGGATTATGAAAATGAATAATTCCTTAATCATTTGTAATGTATTTATAACTATGATTTTTTAGCGTTTTTTCCACACTTCATCCGTTCAAGGAACATTTCAGAATGAATGATGAAAGATTTTTAGTTAGTGGTTGGGAAGATGATCTTAATGATATTGATGAATCAAGGAACCCTGAAGGTAGTACTTAAACAAATACGTATTAGAAGTTCCGATTAGAAGAACATATTAATCTTTTTTCTAGTAAAATCTGAGGATGAACTTTTACAAGCCTGTGAAAATGGAAACTTAAAACTGGTTCAAACAATTTTAGAAAACCAGCCTAATCTTATACATGCTGTAGATAAAGATAAATATACTGCACTCCATAGAGCATGTTATAGTAATCACATAGAAATTGTTAAATATTTGTTACAAAAAGGAGCTAATATTGCAGCACAGACGGAAATGAAGTGGCAGCCTCTACATTCTTGTTGTCAATGGAACCATAAAGAATGTGCTGCTATTTTAATACAACATGGAGCAGATATTAATGCCAGGTCTGAAGGAGGTAACAGATTCATGTTTTGAATAGTAATTAAATATGGTGTTCTTGTGGTACAAGTAAAAGTACAAGCTTAAAAAGTTCTAGTGTTTTCATGTTTTTATACATTAGTATCAAATAAAAGTTTAGAAGTCAAAATAATTTTTATTACCAATAAAATATAAAAGATCCTGAGGTATTCTTTTAACCGTTTTACTGTATATGATTCAACTTTTGTAAATCTTTCCATCAATCTTGGAATCCAAACTTTTTTTTAAGAGTTTGTTTATTTGAGAGTTTGTTGAGTATTATAGTATAAAGTGTGTTTGTTCATATAAATAGTATAAACCAACCAAAGTACTTTTTTATGTTTATTATTTTTGAAACTGTTTCATATATTTAATATTTTAGGACAAACTCCATTGCACATAGCGGCTGCACATGGTGCATCATATGATACAGTCCAGATGCTGCTTATGCATCCCTTTATTGATCATAAAATAAAGAATTCTAGTGGAGAAACAGCAAAAGATATAGCTACAAGAAGTTCGAGGTATTATAATGTTTTTGAAATGGCAGATCCATTGTTAGATATGGAAATTATATAAAGTAAGTATTGCTGAATTAGTAACTGTGACTATTGAAGTATACAGAACTGTCCATTTTACTAGTAAGAAGTACCTAAGTTTCTTAAAAATGATTAAAATCTCAACATAGTTTCTCATTCTCAATTATTTCAGTAAGATTTACATTTCTGCCTCTTTACCTTTAAATATACCTAGTGTGCAGATTTTTTTTTTATTTAAAACACTTATACCACATCAACCACACAGGGTTATTAGTGGGATGACAAACACAATAGTTTTAATACGATTATGTACATTAAATAGTATAATATCTTATTTTATATCTCTTAAATAATTTAATACATTTAAATTTTTATCTGTCAAGATATATTTGATGTTGTCTGAAATTCCATGCATTCTTCTTTGATTTTGGAAACATGGGCAATCAAGCAGGAAGTGTTTCACTATCAATAAAGTGGAACAGTTATTGCAAATTGGCTTTGGATCTTTACTGATTAAAAATTTGTGTGTGACAGCAGTATAACCAATTCTTAAACAGTTTATAATTACTTGATCTCGTCTAATTGTGGGGTTATTCACAGATCTGTTTACCTTTGGGCCTATTGGTAGTGTACAGAATTGCTAGTAATATATTGATATAAAAAAAACAGTATTAAGTGAACATCTGAAATAGAACTGGCACAAACTTCAAATTTCATTCCTGTAAAATGAAATTTGAGAACAGTACTGTTAAATCTACATGACACTCTTATACATGAACATCTCACTAGTAGTAGAGTTGAGGAAGCTATTGTTAACCCTTTTGTCTTATGAAAAACCTTAGCTGTATCGCCACAGAAATGTGGCATATTCATTTGAATATAATATACACAAAGTGCACTTACATGTTAAGAGCACTAATCTATAGTCATATTTAGACACATATATGTGTCACAGTAGCTAAAAGGTTTAATAGACTTTTGAATCAATGAAACCTAGGAACTATTACAAGAAATGCCAATAGGGATAAAAGTCCAACAAATAGAGGATATTGTAAAACAAACAATCTGATCAAAAGTGCATTTTATTTATTTTCAAAATAAGATACTTTATACAAACTTTTAGCAGAGTGTGATGTCATGGGAGTAATTATCAGGGTTTTATTAATTAAAATTTGAATTCCATAAATATTAAAAGTTAGAGTATAAAATAAACAAATGATACATTCTTTATATAAAATAATTTTTCACTTTTTGTCATAGTTTAGTGTAAATCAAACGCAATTTTGACAGAGTATAAATATATTTGTTTTTTAGTAAACAGACAAACACCTTATAATATGTTCTACATATTAAGTTTTTTTTTCATTTTGTCAATTAATCCATTAATGGCGAAAGTATTGAAAATGAAACATTTCTTTAATTATTTTTTTGTCTAAGATTTTCATATGATGATTATTATATTTTATGTATCAACCTTTTATATAGATAGTTTATTGACGTGTTTGTTATTTAAATGGTCTAAATCATGATCTGCATAATTTTTGAAATAAACAAAACACTCCAAATTTACTACTATCTGTCCCTGTCATTTGAGCTCGCATAATAAACCACAAGATATTTAAAATTCGACTGAACCAGCATTCCTTGTTCAATTAGAGATTGTAGAATGATATTGAAACATAATTTGAAATATGACTACTCATAAAATTTTATAACGATTTAAAGATAATGTTTCATTTATGAAACTTTGACATGATCTGTGAATTTATGTTCAATAGTCTACTAATAATACAACATTTTTCAGTCTTAGCTATTATTTCCAACTGTGTAGTGGTTTCTTTGGTATAATAATAGAGAGTTACTCATTAGTAACTATTTTTTACAATTTTGCAGTATTTTTATGGTGAATCAAGACTTAAGAGGGTATACAATGATTGGCTAAATTTGTTTTTAGTGTTTTGTAAATCCCATATACATATTCCATATACATATTAATATCAGATACTGATATTAATATGTCAAGACTGTAAGACTGTCTGAATATGAAATGAAAAGACCCCTTTCAGTGAAATAATTGCAAGCTATACTGGAGGATGATTCTGATTTAGAAGAAGCGGATAAGATAGATGCAGTTTATATTCCTCTTTTAGTTGATGTGTTAACAGATTAAGAGGATTTGGATGATAATCCTATAGAGGAAGAAGCTTTGACTGATATCGCTGGAACATTCGAGATTAACACAAGGTCTCGAGATGAGGCTAAGACGCCCATAGAATCCATATTGGAACCATTTACAAGTGGGAAAAAAAAAGAAAAGTAAGTTCCCAATGAAAACGCAAACCGACGCAATATACATGCTGGTCAAAATCGTTAGAAAACTATTCATCTTCTCCAAAAGAAAATTAATTTAATAAAAAAGAAGAAATAAAGCGGGGACTTGCTGGCAAAACACCATTTAAAATATTCTGATTATTTTTTGACGGTATTTTATTCTAGAAGACACTTGAATTCAGCCTGACGTATGCTCGGGACAACAACAGACATGACTCTCCAGCTCAACTGCAGAAGTTTTTTGGTATTTTAATCCTTACCGGATATCATACACTTCCGGCGTGTAATATGTATTGGTCAAAAGACCCAGATAAAGGCGTGGAGCTGGGGAGAAAGTGCATCTGAAAGAAAGTCGTATCACCCTCTGAAACAAAAATAAATCTTCATGTCTCCGATAATAACGACTTAGACAATAATGATAAATTTGCCAAGATACATTCATTATTTTTGCTGATGAATGAATGATATTTGCAGTTTGTACTATTTGCTCATAATATATCTATAGATGAACAAATGGTTCCTTATTTTGGTCGACATTCTGCAAAAATGTTTACGAAGGGTAAACCAGTGCGCTTTGGCTTCAAGGTCTGGTGCTTGTGTAGCTCAGATGGATATCTATACCAATTTATTTCTTATGGTGGCGCAAATCCAGAAAGCCAGAAATCTTAATACATATTAGGGACGCAAGTAGTTTTGAATCTGCTACGTGTAATGCAAAACCCTTCAGAACATAGAGTTTTCTTCGATAACTTCTTTTCGAGTTATGCCTATTCCACATTCTAGGAGAAAAAGGAATTTTCTTTACTAGTACCGTGAGAGAGAATAGGTTATCAGGATGTCTTCTACAAAGTAGCAAAGTGCTTGGAAAGAAAAAAGGGCAAGTTTGATCATGCTTTCGACAAAAAGGCAGAAGTACCAGTTGCGAGGTGAAACGATGATTTCATTGTGACTGTAGTTGTGACATCCAATTATTACAGTGAAAATATATAATCGGAAGATACGAAAGGAAGATTCAATACCTCAGCCCAATATGATTAACGATTATAACCGAAATATGGGAGGTATTGATCTCCTAGATAATTCGGTATCAAATTACAGGATCCGAGTAAAAAGTAAAAAGTGGTGGTGGCACTTGTTTATGAACCTTGTGGATTGCACTGTTGTAAATTCATGGAATTTACAACATTGCGAATGATTCTCGAGTCTCCTAATTGCAATTCCGTTCTTCATTGGTTTTGTCACTGATACAGAACAAAAAATATTTTTACAGTAAAAACAGGTGCTGAAGAAGGTGACTCCGTATCAGACCCAGAGCTAACGCCATGTACATCCGTAAAGGTCGTCTTTCTAAAGGAAGCTTACCTTCTGATATTCAATATGACCAAACTCGTCATAACATCGACGGCAGTGCAGAGTGTGCAAAACTAACTCTGTTTATATGTGCGGAAAATGCAAGGTTCACTTGCACGCTGACTGTTTTGGTGCTTTCCATAAAAAATGAGATGCCACAATGACGCCACTGCCATACTACCATACTACCAAATAATCATTTTATTTTATATAATTAACTATTGTAGCAATATCTTTCGTTTTTAATTGATAAAACCAAGAATTTTTTTTACACACTTTAAAACGTATAACTTTTAATTTACTACATATATTATGCCAAAGTTTCGTTAACAAAACATTATTTTTTTGTATATATTTTTTTATTTTAAAGTATTAACATTTTTTTTTATTTTAGAGATTTAAAATAATTTAAGGACATTCTGGACAATGGGAATAAGTTAACTAAAATGTACAAATTTAAATAAAATTTTCATAAAAAACATTTTTTTTTAATTTCTCCACACTTACACATTGCGTGTGTAACGAATAAAGTGGTTTAGTAGACAAAAATCATGATTGTCAGTAAGAACAAGATTAAAGATGAAGAACTGGAAAATATATGATACTTTCTCCCGAATGAGGACCTCCACAGTATTAGAAAACAATTCAAAATGAAGGTGCCACGATTTGTACAAACAATACAATTTTTTTATTTTGATGGAAATATTTAATTTTTTGGAAATGATTTCACCTTCAACTTATAATTTCAAAGTATAATTTTCGTAGAATAATTTAAAATCTTTCTCTTCATTTCCATAATATCGTCTGTCACTGTACTCGTTGTCGGATTGCACAAGCAACAACAGATTTCTTTAACTACAAGATAATTCTTTGAGTGTACGATATAAATTTGGATATTTACAGGGTGTCCAGAAACTCTACTGACAATTGAAGACTACTCAGATAATTTTAAGACAATTTAACCTAATTCATCTTGTCCGAAAATGCTTTCTAATTGAGCTAGAACTCTTCCAAGGTGGTGCCTTATAAATAGTTTTTTTAAATATCTCCAGAACGCTTCTATTTAGAAAAACGAAAACTAGTACGATTACTTATCCTGCAGAATTGAATATATTCCATCAATTGCGAATTTCTAGTACTGGTCATAGGCATCCGTTTCGGGTAGGTCAAGGTTATTTTAACCCAGTTATTACTACCGTCCTTTTAAAAGGTAGTGTAAATTATGCGTAATTTAGGTAAGTACAGCTACCAACTGATAGATGGCTCTAGATGGAGTGTTTTCAAGAGCCAGCATTCGACAAGTTTTAACGATTTTAGTGCGCGCACATGCTGTAATTGTGAGGTTATCTGTGTAAATTGCCAGGTTTTGGACTACAAAATGGATGCTTATAATTGGAGGTAAGTCTAGAATTAAAAAACTGTTATTTCACGGCATTGGCATGTGGATTATTGTATAATAGGGACTTATGTACGTATATTCTTGGCTCGAATAGTTGTCACGTTGTTTCAAAGGCTCGCCGCTTGGGATTTCATTTTGTTCTTTTAAAAGGACGGTAGTAATTAGTACTACCAACGTGCGTATTGTTTCAGGAGGCCTCTCAAATTGCATGAGCTATTAGAAGAGCTTGATTCTGATGAAATCCCAGTCCCTCCAGATGGTTTGATCATATTTCCCCCAGAAAATGCCAATGATGATGTCACCGATTGCGACTCCGGCGATGAAGAACTAACTACAATAAATAATTTACCGGGTAGTCAGATGAGAAACGATGTAGAACTTGTTTTTGACAACGCGACTGAATTACCACAAGATTCTGTGAATTCCAGCCTACCAGAAGAAGATTCGGATGATGACAATATACCATTGGCTTTGTTTCTTTCCAAGGAAAAGCTGCCCCATCAATTAGAGAAGAGAATATCTGCACACTGGATTCAAGGAGACTTGTATCAACACCCTGGTTGTACTTACTGGAAAACTCAATTTGGACCGAAAATGACTCAGTCGCTGATGGAAATTTTCAATTTGTTTTTTGATGATGAAGTCATCAATTTGGTTACCGAATACACTAACATCTACGCAGGACAAAGAAATCTTTTAAACGACATTACTTAAAATGAGATTCGATGTTTTATAAGCGTTCTTGTATTGAGTGGTTATGTGGTTGTGCCGAAAAGGTACATGTACTGGGAAAATCGTGACGATTCGCACAACGCAATGGTGGTAGCTGCTATATCTAGGGATATATTTTCCCACATAATGAAAGTTTTGCATGTTTGCAATAATTTGTCATTAGATAAATTTGATAGATTTGCCAAGATGTGACCCCTGTTCGACGTAATAAACAAAAAATTTATACAATTTTCCCCTTTAGAACAACATCACAGCATAGATGAGGCAATGGTTCCGTATTTTGGTCGCCATCCCACAAAACAATTCATCAGAGGAAAACCAATCCGTTGGGGGTACAAAATGTGGGTAGGAGCCCTTCGTCTGGGATACATAGTTTGGTTTTCTCCTTACCAAGGTAATTCCACTACAATACCTGAACAATATAAAGTCCTTGGATTGGGTGCATCAGTAGTTCTATCCTATGCAGACAGATTGAATGAAGTATGGCCTCAAAGGCGATTCCATCTTATTTTTGATAATTATTTTACTTCTATTCATTTACTGCATGAGCTAAAACAAAGAGGCATATTTGGTACAGGCACTGTAAGGGAAAATCGCACCATGAAATGCCCTTTACCCTGTTCATCTATTATGAAAAAAACTGAACGTGGTAAATACGAGTATCGTCTTGATAAAAATACAGGAATAGTGGTTTGCCGCTGGCATGATAATAATATCGTTTCTATTGCTTCCAATTTTGTACCAGTAATGCCTTGCTTCTCTGTAAAGAGATTTTCACAAGCAGAGAAAAAACATATTCAAGTTCCTCAACCAAATATTGTTAGAATACACAATAACTTCATGGGTGGCGTTGATCGCAGTGACCAGAACATCAGTTTATATCGAGTGTCCATAAGAGGAAAGAAATTGTATTTTCCCCTTTTTGCTCATTGCGTTGATATGGCTATTCAAAATGCGTGGCAGATTCACAAAACTCAAGACGGTAAACTGGATCAACTTGAATTTAGAAGATCTATTGCAACTAATATTTTGGAAACTTTTAAAAAAGAAACAAAACGCGGACCTTCTAAGCGGAATTCGAATTCGGTAGCCAATTCAAGATATGACGGTATTAACCACTTGGTTCTTTATCAAGAAAAGCAATCGTGATGTGGATATTGTCACAAAAAAGTCCAGTTTTTGTGTGAAAAGTGCAAAATACCTTTACATCCAAAATTTTGTTTTAAAGCCTTTCATTCTTTGTAAATTGATACTATTAAAATATATATGATATCTGGTACCGTATATTACTACCGTCCTTTTAAAAGAACATGTCAAAACTTGACAGGTATCGTCATAAAAAAATATATGATTGTGTTTTTTGGTTCCATATGCTATAATTTCCATGAAAATTCGAAATTAATTCAAAATGTTAACAATAAAAGGCTCAGTAATATCTGGGTTAATGCCTAATTTTGTTGTGTTTACTTTTTAAGCATTCGTGATACTAGATTATTAAATTTTCAGGTTTACTAGTACTAAACGATATTCTTATTTTAAGTCGGTAGGATTCACCGTTTTCTAGAAAAATATATTTGAAAATGTTTTGTTTCGTCGTCATGAAAGTTTAATTAATATTTTTTGCACTAGTTGGCTTTGAACTGTTAACATGAGTATAATCTACAAGTTTATTATTTTGGTTTTTTACCCTGTGCCATTCAATAATATGTATTTAGTTTATGGCGAAATAAGGCGTAACGCTCGAGTCACACTACGTAGATAAGATACGCTGAAAAATTGCTCAATCGTGAGCATCCCACTCACACAACATTTAGGTACAGCTCTTCATCAACGATTAAGAGAAACATATTCAGTGGTCTCAAAAAATAATGAAACAGGACGACCTAATCATGTAACAGCAGCACATAAAGATGTTATTTTAATGGAAGTTGAGGACAATCCAGAAATTAGCGTTTGAGGACTATCTATGTATCCCACAACTTTAAAATCTTTCTTAGGAAATGTCTTAACACAACGAAAATTTATATCCTTTTCATTTTACAAAGACACAAGCACTGCTAGAAGGAGATTTTCCTGCTCGTGAAGAATTCGCTAGATGGTTACTGCTACTAATAGAACTTAGTGGAAAAGGCATGGTGAGCATTTGGATACAACCAAAAATCATAATACAACTTAGTGGAAAAAGTATTATGTCCAATTGAATACAACTAAATTTTATAGTAAATACCAAAGTTATTATGTTTCAAATATAAAACAATCAAATATTAGACTGTTTAGAGTTAGCAGACATTCATATTTGTTTATTATTGTTTATGATTAAAAAGATAGGTTGATACTTACTCTGGGTCCACACGAAGGTTCACTACTATTCTCCATGATAACTTCTATGTCTCGATGGATCAACGAAATGCTGCGAGATGGCAGGATAATATTTATAAGATATTCACACATACGTTAAACCGTTTTCCGTTGCTAGTTAGTCTGTGTTTTTAAATAAGCGTAGTGCAAAGCGTATGTATCCACATGGATATTTTGCCAAATAAAGGGTTAAGAATTCCTAAGAAAAACTAAGATCTAAGAAGTAAAAACCAAAGTAGGTGCTCTCAAAACTATCACAAAATCTAAGTGGAATGATCAAGGAAGATGACAGAGAGTAAAGACAATGGGACAAAGAAATTAATGCAATGGCGACCTAGAGCATATAAAGAGAGATCGATAACATTAAAGAAAAGGCAAGGAGAAACTGGTACTAAAGAGATCAAGACTTGTAAACACAGGGGGAGGCCTATGCGCAGGAGTGGTTCAGAAGAGGCAGCTAAAGAAGACATATTGTGAATATTTTGCAAAAAATACTGGACCGGCTCCTATATTCGACCTTTGCAGATTTGAGCGAATCGACAACAAGTGGTGTTATCTGTTAATACCAACTAGAAGTATATCCCGAAAACTTTTAGAGTTTCAACACCTGTGCAGCTGTAAACAACGGTTGAGAAAATATTATTGTTTTCGTGATTAGGTATTGAACTTCCAATACAAAGTCACTTACCGTTCAAGTAAGTAATCTTCTTCTTCTCGTGCCACTCCTAGCGGAGATTGGAAATCATCATGGCCACTGCGACTTTGTTAGCAGCGCGCCTAAAAAGTTCAATCGAACTACACCCGAACCATTCACGTAGATATTACGAAGCCACGATATTTTTCTTCTTCCCACACTTCTTTTGCCCTGAATTTGCCGATGTTTCTTAAAAGTTCGTACTTTTCACCTCTCACAATGTGCCCCAAGTATTCCATCTTTCTAGTTTTTATCTCATTTAGAATTTCGCATCTTTTGTCTAAAGTTTG